GAGATGAGTGGGGGGGTGGGGGGAGATGAGGAAAACTTGTAGTTACTATGGAGAAAATGTTACATGTAAGGTTCAGAGTTATTTGTTCTGTGGAATTTTGGCAAACTTTAGAGGGTTTGATGTAATCACAAGCTACATGTCATGGCATAACACTCTGGGGTCTGATGTCATACCCCACGTGCTGAGAGGTCATTACTGGTTAAAAGGTCAAGGTCAAAAGTCCCATTGTACTGTGTATAATGATGTTTATCTTCGAAGAGTGTTAAAGAATATCTGGGACCTGTCAGTGTCTTTTAAACATTTCATCCCAATAAAACATTTATCCATATTGATATTTAGTGCTTAAAACATTCATCCCAGTAGGTATTTTATGGGGTGTAAACTTTATGTATGACACCTATACTACCAGAGGGAGCTATGGGTCTATCATCAACTTTTCATTTAAAACTTTTGAGAGAAGTCCAAGAATGACTTTAATAACTGATTACATTTGGCATGGAGCATGCCAGGGCCTCAGAATTATATTTTTGTATAAAAAGATACGGATTTGGCTAACCTATGGACAGAGGGTCTCTAGAAGACTGTTCCTTATGAGTTTAAATTGTTCTACCTTATTTCTCAGGGCATCCCTGGGCTAAGGGAAATCAGTTTTGTATGAGGTTAGTGTGGTAGAGCATCCCTGGACTAAGGGAAGTCGGTTTGGTATGAGGTTAGTGTGGTAGAGCATTCCTGGACTAAGGAAAATAAGTTTTGTATGAGGTCAGTGTGGGAGAATTTTGGTGTTTCTTAGAGTTGTATAAAAACATTTGGGTGGTCTCCTGGGGTTGTTTTTACTTTTTGTTGTTTCTTTTTTTCCAAGGGCAGTACAGGTGTTATGATTGGAGTTGATTAAAGGGTGATATAAGTAAGTCGGAATAAGTCGGTCTGGAAAATGAATTTCATGCTGTACAACTTCACATAGATTCAGTTACAACTCGTCTGAATTACGCACAAAAAAAACATGGGAGAAAAAATTAACATTGCGATGTTTATATAGTATGGCTGTGGAGCTTTGTTGTGTATCCGACTGTTGTAGGACCTGCGTGTATAATTGTCTACGTACACACTGAATACGTGTCATGTATCAGGTATTTACTGTTTATATATAACTGCTTTTACTGCTGAGCGTGTTTTCGTGTTAGGCCGTTATAACATCCCATAATACTCTTACATGCTGAGGTTCAGCTTTTTTCTCCCGTCTACAAAATCCTGTTGTATTATGTTCAATTACAGACCTGGTGTTTTTTCCAAGACAGAAAACTTTCGCGAGCCTACAGGTTGCGCTAATTGTCTTTATTTCCCCGAATGTCTGGTACAGAGCCAAAAATAACAAAAAATTACGCCGAGGCATTCCTACCGGGTCCTACTGCTCAACAGAACTCCTGTTTGATGCATCACAGTGAGGAAAGAAATTTAACGACATTTTGAGATTTTATTATGACAAATATTTTTATGAAGACAACCAGCTCTGATATCCCTGTGGGAGTGAGTAGAACTAATTTCAGGTTATTTATTTGAACAAGACTATTTTTTTGGAAGTGCACCCACTAGTAGATAAGGCCTGGAGTGATGGGCGACTCTTGCCGTCCTCCCCTGTGAGATATGGGGAGTTGGAGATCAAGCAGGGAAGAGCTTGTGGAGAGAAGACGATAACATTTTATGAATGAATTCTTATCTGTTGTAATGAGGGAGAACGTTTTTGATGAAGGAGGGCTGCCCCTATCCCCTTTCCATCTTCTGCTCTGCTCCTTCATTATTTCCCTGGCACCTTGAAACAATACTTCTCCCTGATCTCCTATCCCACACAGTCTACTGACACCCCCTTCTGTCCATTCCCACTCCCCATACGCTCTCTCTTACATACCAAGGTCCTGATGATGGCCACATAGCAGGCCGAAACATGTGACAGTAGATAACAGGTCCTTGTGGTGTTGAGGTTCCTTTATTTCTCTATTATGTTTTATTAGTAAGGATCTCTATAGAACCCATTCATGGATCCAACCTCGGACGGATCCACCCTAGGACGGATCCAACCTCGGACGGATCCACCCTAGGACGCTCCCGCAAAGTTCTACATTAGGAGTGTTGGATCACCTATTATTTGTTATCCTCTTACATAATATTACTAACAGCAATGCTTGGAACATTGGTTGTTTTGGTATTGTTATACGACTGACTCGTCAACAAATTGAGTCATAAAGGGACAAGTTTGAAATATTGAAAAACTAGTGGAAACTATTTTTATTAATCATTGACACATTTGAAAGTTCCACAGAATATATGTATTGTTAATGCTCAGGTGATCCCTTCTCAAGGGAGATAACTCTTAACACAAATCACAGGTATAATGTTTAAGGCAGCATATATCCTTAACTCTAACACAAATCACAGGTATGACATATAAGGTAGTATATATCTAATCTCTAATGTAAATCACAGGTATAAGGTAGCAAATGACCTTAACACTAATGTAAATCACAGGTATAAAGTAATGTATATCCTCAACACTACAAAAGTCACAGGTATTATGTAAAAGGTAGCAAATGACCTTAACACTAATGTAAATCACAGGTATAAAGTAAGGTATATCCTCAACACTACAAAAGTCACAGGTATTATGTAAAAGGTAGCAAATGACCTTAACACTAATGTAAATCACAGGTATAAAGTAAGGTATATCCTCAACACTACAAAAGTCACAGGTATTATGTAAAAGGTAGCAAATGACCTTAACACTAATGTAAATCACAGGTATAAAGTAAGGTATATCCTCAACACTACAAAAGTCACAGGTATTATGTAAAAGGTAGCAAATGACCTTAACACTAATGTAA